GGATTGGAAGAGGAGCAGCAGGGACTAGAACCGGCACTCATATGGGATGCCGGCGCTGCAGGCGGAGGATTAACCAAGTGAGCCAGGGTGCTAGCCCCCAAGATTCATTTTTAATTATCTTTATATACAGAAGATCAACTAAGTATATACTAAAGATTTCAACAGATTGTACCCACACAGACACACAAAATATAAAGTACTGTTTGAAGACTACTAGTTTTACTGTTAATTCTCATAGTATAATACATTAAGGACAGAGATCCTACATGGGGAGTAACTGCACAGTGACTCCCGTTGTTGATTTAACAATTGACACTCTTATTTATGACATCAGTAATCACCTGAGGCTCTTGTCATTAATTTGTATAAAATAACTTGCTCTGCTGAAAAACCAGTGTTTTTATTTGGTACTTAAATGATATTTTTGGAGTGAACATTTAGCACAAGAATATATGACTCCAACAAAAAATATGATTTTGTTACATTAAAGAGTACTGAATTGATTTGCCAAAGTTTTCTAATTTAGTAAAGTTACTCCCTTCCTTGGATCCTTGGATTTGTTAAAAAAAAAAAACCAACATGATATTGATACTTATAAAGAATTGTTACTCTATGAGGAAAGCAAACTGATTAAACTTATCTTGAGTTAGGTTTTAAAAAAAGAATTGTTATTCATTATCAAATATTGAGTTGTTTTTATAAAGATTGATTTATTATTAATTTTTAAATATTCATTTATTATTTATTTATTTTATTTATTAGAAAGGCAGAGTGACAGAGCAGAAGAGACAGAGAGGGAGATCTTCCATCAACTGGTTCACTCTCCAAATGGCCACAATGGCCAAGGTTGCACCAAGCCAAAGCCAGAACTCCATCCAGCTCCACGATGTGGGTGGCAGGGACCCAAGCACCTGGCCATCTTCCACTGCTTTTCCAAACACACTAGCAGGGAGTTGGATTGGAAGCAGAACAGCTAGGACTTGAGCCAGTGCTCTGACATGGAATGCCAGCATTGCAAGCTTCATATAGATTTCTGGCTACTATTTTTTCACAGGCTATATCTTTAGGGTATATGGGTTTCTGAAATTGTATCCAGTCATCCAACAGTGGTACTTTAATAGAAATTCAGCGACCTTGATGTGAGAACATAAGACCACACTACTATGGCAGCATTAGGAAGCTGTCTAGATTTGTATTCCTCAAATAAGGGAGGGCCAAAACAGGTTTTGGATACTAGAGAAAGTCATATGCCTATACTATTGCCATTTTAGAAAGCTCTGATGTGAATTCAAATTATACCTCTGTTACTTAACAATTTTAAGGCAGTAATTTTAGAGGCCATTTGAACTCTTTGTACATTAACAATCTATTAAAAAAAAAGACAAACTCAAATAAAATACAAGATAACATTTTAAGACTTCCAAACATATTTCCTAGTGTAAGACATGCCTCTGCATAATACATGAACATTTTAACATTGAGCTTTCAACCCCAAAAGCATGATTTTCTAAAAATTATAGTAATGTTAAATTAAATGACTAGAGATATAAAAGTAATGCTGATTAAATTAAAACTTTCAGTTTAATAGCATAGCCTTATTTAGATTTCTCTTAAGATACTGCACACATCTATCTAATTTCACATTCATAAAAATGAGTGGTAAAACAAAAGCAAATTAAATACCCCCCAAAACTAAAAGAACAGCAACAAGTTAAATGAATTTGCGTTTTTTTGTAATCTGTCGAAGCTGTTAAGAGAACAGGCAATAAAGATTTTGCCTAATCCCATGTTGGAGCACCTGGGCTCCATATCCAGCTCCAGCTCCAGCTTCTGCCTGCTAAAGCAGACCTGGGGAGTAAGCTAGGGTGGCTCAAATAATTAGGTTCCTGCCACTCATGTGGGAGACCTGAATTGAGTTCCTAGCTCTCAGCTTCAACCTCAGCCCAGTCCCAACTGCTATGGGCATTTGGGGAGTAAACCAGCATATAATCTCTCTCTCTCTCTTTGCCTCTCAAATAAATACATTTTTTAAAAAATGGTAACAGTTTTCTTTAAAATTTCTGTATAGTATTATAATCCTTAAGAAAATTTTTTTAGAAATAGCCACTTGGGGATCCGGTGCTGTGGTGAAGCAGGTAAAGCCACCAACTGCAGTGCCGGCATCCTATATAGACACCAGTTCGAGTCCCGCCTGCTGCACTTCCAATCCGGTTCTCTGCTAATATGCCTGGGAAAGCAGCAGTGATGGCCCAAGTGCTTGGGCCCCTGCACCCACATGGGAAACCAGGAAGTTGTTTCTGGCTCCTGGCTTAGGGTTGGTCAAGTTCTGGATGTTGCAGCCATTTAAGAGAGTGAACCAGCAGATGGAAGATTCTCTCTCTCTCTCTCTCTCTCTCTTTCTCTCTCTCTCACTGTTCCTTTCAAATAAATAAATAAACATTAAAAAAAAAAAAAAAGAAATGGCAACTTGTGTATCTCTCTACTAAGAATTTTGAGGAGGGGGCCGGTGCCGCAGCTCACTTGGTTAATCCTCCGCCTGCGGTGCCAGCATCCCATATGGGCGCCAGGTTCTAGTCCCGGTTGCTCCTCTTCCAGGCCAGCTCTCTGCTGTGGCCCGGGAAGAAAGTGGAGGATGGCCCAAGTGCTTGGGCCCTGCACCCCATGGGAGACCAGGAGGAAGCATCTGGCTTCAGTTGCAGTGCGCCAGCCATAGCGGCCATTTAGGGGGTGAACCGAGGGAAGGAAGATCTTTCTGTCTCTCGCTCTCACTAACTCTGCCTGTCAAAATAAATTAAAAAAAAAAAAAAAAGAATTTTGAGGAGAAACAGGGAAGCAGCAAATAGAATGAAAGAGAAGTTACCTTTTGCAATGATTTCTTCACACTGTGGCAACAAACGTATTTGTAGTATTGGGCTCCTGAACTAAGCTGTGGATTCAGCATTGGAGACAATGAAGATAGGTGAAAGTTGAGGAACCCGAGAGTGACAAGCAACCCACTGGCTCTTCACAAAGATCTTGATGCCGCAAGCAACTAGTCAGATGAGTTTCCTGAAGGATTGTTGACAGTTTAGAAATTGAGACACGTGAGATCCCTTGCTCAAATATTTAGCACTTTCCCTCTCTGTAAGATTAATTGATCCAATACAACAAAATCTGTCATCCATCATTTGCCAGGCACTATGATTGTTAGATACTTAGATGAAAAATGTTTGACCCTCAAGGAGCTTTGAATGGAATGGGAGGCATACCAGCAAATCCAGTGAACTCATTATGAAGATTGATGTGACCAGGATTGCAATATGATAGTTTTCCAATGAAATGATTATAAGAGGAGTCCTAATAGAGAAGTCAGTGGCAGGAAAGCCTTCTCAGATAATACGATTCTTGATCTGATTACTGGAGGAGAAAAGGGAATCTGGTAGACAGAAGAGAGGTAAAAGACACTCTGGGTATAGAAGACAACATATGTAAGGGTGTGAAACAAAACAGCATGGCCTTGATACTTGGCTTCCTGATTCAACTGGGAAACAGATGACACAATGAAATAACTGTTTCCAGAGATAAGGTCAAAAGCACAAAGGATGCTGAAGAATTCAAGGATGGTAACAGTGGAAAACCTTTAACCACCTGTTTGGAAGAGGCAAGGAAAAGAGAATATTACCAGACTGTGTGAGAGTGGAAGCCGTGGAGAGGAACTATCCAACAGGAACCTTGACTGCAAGCAAGGGAATAAAGCCACTGCCAAGCAGAGACAAAGTGGATACATTCTCTGACTTCTCTTTCCTCTGGTCTCCAGTCAGAACTTCCCATTGACTGAACCCATTACAAGTCAGAGGACAAGGGAATTTAGGAATGGTTCCTGAAAAGGCCAGGCTTCTGAGACTACAGAAGAGCAGAGCCAGATAAAGCTTCCACCTGCGGTGCTGGCATCCATATGGGTGGCAGTTCATGTCCTGGCTGCTCCACTTCTGATCCAGCTCCCTGCTAAAGGCCTGGGAAAGCAATGGAAGATGACCCAAGTGCTTGAGCTCCTCCACCCATGTGGGACACCTGGAAGAAGCTCGTGGCTCCCGGCTTTGGCCTGGCCCAACCCTGACCATTGTGGCCACCTGGGGAGTGAACCAGCGGAGGGAAGAGCTCTTTTTATCTGTCTCTCTCTGTAACTCTGACTTTCAAATAAATAAATAAATCTTTCTTTAAAAAAAAAAAAAAGAACTGAGACTAAATCTCTGATGACTATACCTGTAACTAATACTGTAATAGATCTGTTCAGGCAGCTGTAACACACTTTGAAAGGCTGAAGTCAGAGCTCAGGGTAACAACATGTGGATTCTGGTGGGGACCCTCTTCTGCAATATAGAGAGCCTTTCTCATGGTATCTTTATGTGGTTGGAAGAAAACTGGGGAGCTTTCTGGAGTCTCTTATGTAAGGACACTGATTCTACTCATGAGGGCTCCACCTCGTGACCTAAATTACATCCCCAAAGCCCCACCTTCTAATACCATCACATTGGGAGTTAAGATTTCAGTGAACAATTTGGGGGAGACATAGACATTCAGCCACTAATACTGACCTTGTTTCATTCTACATTTATGGAGGGGCTGCTGAATTATGTGACAGAAAAAGAATTCTAAAGATTTGATTTGCTATGCAACTTCGGCCTGTCACCCAGTCTTTCTGTATGCCTATTTTTAACCACCATGATATAATAATTATTCAATCAGGTATTTTAAAACAAAGCAAGTAATTGTAGGACAGTGCAAGATGACATACCATGTAAGTGCTCTCACTTCACTATCTAAAACAACCGCTAATTTAATTTCTGTCTGTGTATGAAACCGGCTTTCCTATTAGTCTCAGAATATTTTTATCACTTAACACACTTCATAGTTGATGTGTAAATTCTAGTTAAATCATATCAGAATATCTTCAGATTCTGTCATGGCGCTGAATTATTTGAAGTTGCTGTCATACAACCATTTCTCTTTTTATTTTTTAGGTCAATAACTCGATCTTACTACCGCAACTCAGTTGGTGGATTTTTAGTATTTGACATTACTAACCGGCGATCTTTTGAACACGTGAAAGATTGGTTGGAGGAGGCAAAAATGTATGTACAACCATTCCGGATTGTGTTTCTGCTAGTGGGACATAAATGTGATTTAGCTTCACAACGTCAAGTTACAAGGGAAGAAGCTGAAAAATTGTCAGCAGACTGTGGTATGAAGTACATAGAAACCTCAGCCAAAGATGCTACGAATGTTGAGGAGTCCTTCACCATCTTGACAAGAGACATATATGAACTAATTAAAAAGGGAGACATTTGTATTCAGGATGGCTGGGAAGGGGTTAAAAGTGGTTTTGTTCCAAATACTGTGCATTCTTCTGAGGAAGCAGTAAAGCCCAGGAAAGAGTGCTTTTGCTGACTTCTAACATGCCAAAGAACTAACAGGAACAGATTGGATGTCATTTCAGGATAAATAACATCCAGCAGAGTGATGCAGTGAAAGCATTAAAAATAAATTATAAACCCACGCTAACACTATTTTGTAAGGTTTTGATTCAGAGCCCTGTGCTTACTTGTTACACTATCAGATTGGATATTTTGCTAAATTATCAGGCAAAGCGGATAATTTCAGAGACTCCTGAACTTGGAGTCTCCACATAAGTACCTGCATTCTCACTTTGCTAGCATATAGCTGACCTCAGTGTTCAGATATGTGAACATTACTCATTTTTCTTGACCGTTAAAAATGGATTTTTGTATATGTATAATCTGATTGAAAAGATTGTATCAGGAATATATTATCTTACGTTAATTAATATTGAATAGTAAAGTGCATTTAAGAGTACACCGTTCACTTGCAAGGTAAAAAATCTCAGAAGTATGGACTAGGTCTCAACTATCAGTTCCCTGTTTTAGGTACCAGTTTTTTACAACTTTTCAAAATATTTATGCTCCCTTAATTCTGTTTGAAAACAAGAAAAGCTTTATACTCATTTTTGTTTACTAATTTATTGTTCCTGAAACTTTTGTGTTTTATAAGCTATCTAAGGATCCAAGCAAACTATTTTAAGCAGATATTTGTAAAAATAAGAACAAAGGGCCACTTATCAGCAAATGTTTTGATCTTATAGTGTACTGTCTGTGATTAGAAAAGAAAAACAAAATTTATTTATATTCAAAGAAAATATGCAATTTACTTTAAACTAATCACAAAATTAATAATATAGGTTAGTAATAGCGTTTTTGCCCAAGTAAATTTCCAAATTTTCCCATTTCCGATACAAGAAGAATGTAGACATTTTTATGGACAAAGGAAAATTGGTTAGATGTTTGATATATTTAGCATTGAGATTGCATTTTACAATCATCATTACAAGGGAAGGTAGAATAATCAGTTAGGAGAGTAAAAAGCCTTTTGAGTTTCCTAATTTTTAACTTATTGATTAATCTTCTGTGGAAGGAGAAAGTTTATTGATTAAAGTCCTCTGGAAGGGACATTTTGATCACAATGTCAAATATTTTATTATATTTATTTTCCTCATGTTCTTTATAAAATGTTCCTGATCACGGAGAGGGTACTAAACCTGCATTTTGGAATCATAATGTTTTTACTGTTAAACAAACTATAATTACTTCATATGTTTGAAAACCAAGGTGGTATAGTAGAAAGAATGTTTAACAAGAAATCAGAAAACCTGCTTCTGAGCTTGCCTTTGCTAACCAGTGTTTGACCATGACTAAGCCCTAAGCTACAGATTTTTCTCATCTGCAAAATGAAGCTAATATTGCCATTTGTTGTTATTTCATGGAATTATTTTGAGAATCAAGTGAATCCTATTAAAAGCTTTTGTAACTAAAGAAAGCATTCTATAAATGTGAGATTGATATCAGCTGCTCATGAGAATTCTTTCTCCTGTTCCTTCCTTTCACTCCTGTTCAGAGGGGACAAAAGAAGGTACTTTTCTTTGTGGACTTGGGAGAATTCTTGACTGAAACTTATTCTCTGCCCTTTTACCCTGAACTGCTGTTCCTCTAAAGTTAGAAATGATAGGGAGGGAAGTCCCTGGGGAACCAATCACATCAAAAGTTATGTTTGAATGTGTTTTTTAAAGTGCATCTTTGAAGTAAATATTTACTTGTATTTTCAAATACTTGTACATTTTCTAGGTTCATGTAAGTATTTTTAATAGTGTTTATGGGAAGAAGAATATAAATTATAACCACTAGAAAAGTTTTGAATATTTATATTGACTTTTTATTGATAACCTTAGATTAATTTCACATGAAGGAGTTCAAACTATAACTGACCAGATGAGAAAATGCCTGTCCCCCAAAATGTGAACTAGTCTATTTTAAACTACAGTTTAAAATCTGACATGATAATTTTCCATCACTCCAAAATGGCATAAACTCAACTACTTAATATCCAACAGTTTATAGTCATGTGTGCCTGTTTCTAAAGTTAAATAGCTAAAATGTGATTTAACTTGCATTAGCACCCTTTGTACCACCGATGTCGTGTGAGTCCAGAATTGAGGCTGAAGGATGTGATGTGTAGCAAGATGTAGGACAGAATTAAGGAATTAAGGAACTAGAAGAAACAAATGGGAAGGTAGGGCCCCCAAAAAGTTAATACTTGCATGAGCAAAAGCAAGCCTCGAACTGTGGGCTCCTGGCGCCTTGATTACCCTGCTGGGCTGGGTGTGTACATGTGTTGGAGAGTGGGGGCCAGAATGTGATGTGAAGGAAAATGTGATCACTGGAATCTGCAACATGCTAAAACTGGGCTAACTCATTTTTATATTATAGAGGAGCTATTTGTAGGTAAAACAATAGTAGTGTAAATTTTGATGACTACAGAGATCTGAATTCTTAAATCAGATTGCCAAATATCTCTATAACCTTAGCCAGAGATCTTTATCCATTTCTATATATAAAAATAGCTGACTTATTTTCTTATACATCACTACAGAGGATATGGATAATAATGCCAAAATAGTAAAAATGTTTGCTCCAAGAAAACATATTAACTGAATTTCTTAAAAAAATCAGATATAGATTATTTTATATTAAAATTACTTCATTTAAAATGTAATTTAAATTTAAACCTTATTTAAATTAAAAAATTTAAAACTGATCAATGATGCATCTAATTACTAAATATTTTAGGTAAGTGTGATTTTTAGAAAGAAAGTAAAAACTGTCCCAACCCTATGGTAAGTTTTTCCCTGAGAGAATTGCTCATCTTGAGTCGCATGAACACTTTTAGTGCATAAAATGATGTGATGGTTCATTAAATGGTAAGCTTAAGCCAAAATGTTAAGTAAACAGAATGCTTTTAAATGTGGCCTTTACATGCATAACGTAGGAAGCAGGATTTCTTGAGCATGGAAACTTGAGAATTTGCTTCTAAGTTTCCAAAAGCCTCAAGCATGCCATGAAATTTTGGTGTGTAGAAACCCAGTCTTTCATATTGTTGTTAGCTTTGCCAGCACAAAATCCTTTCATCCAACTTGACATGATTAAAAATCGGAACCTATGGATTAATAAAATCATTTTAGGAGTATTTTTGTCAGATTTTATACTGTCCTTGGTTTAACTAAGAACAAGGTTTCATTGACTTTGAAGCGTGCACTGTTTTTGAATACTTTCCTTAGTCTGACACTTGCATAGTGAGAAGGAAGACTCATTTCGTAAGGTAACCCCATTTGTTTCCCAGTGACTACCTGGAAAGATTTAGCTTGAACATGTAAAGGAAACATGTACTCTTTGGGGGAACAAAAAATGAAAGACTATAAAGGCTTTAAAGTTAGATCCTTTGTATTTTAAAATAGTAAAATACATTCCCAACCAGAAAAGCTAACTCTTGGAAACCCTGTAAATGATAGCCATCTTTGCTTCAGAATCTTTCCAAATCTCAGTGTTTTCACCAAACATGACTTAGCAACTGATCCTCACCTGATCTTAAAATAACTAACAAACCCTACTCCTGAACCTGAATGAACTGCTGCATGGCCTGGTATTTCTATAATGCTATTATTCGATGCAAGTAGACACATGAGTGATGAGCTGTGACAATCTGCATCAATCATTACACAATCTAGTTCACATACTGCACATGGTCATGGTAGGAAGTACATGAAAACAAAATTCGTTAAAGGTATAGAAACCATTAGTGTCCTGTGTTGTTATCTCTTTGGGTAAATGTTTTGTCTTTTTTTGAATAGTGCCTAAAACGTTAATGTATGTGACATTCAGTGACAGCTAATTGATGGTTAATTGTGTTAAATTAATCATATTAAATATGGGTTCCACATCCTTGGTTTTAATTTATTCATTTCATAAAGTAATAAACACGTTTTGCTCTCATCATGTCTTGGCATTTTTTTCCAGAATGATAGCCAATAGAAGTAAGATACCATATAGACTTGAATATGTCATTAATGTTATTTGATTTTAAATAATGAATAAAATAATGAGAATGAGAACTGTGATTGTCATAGGATTGTTATGCCATCCATCTTCGGTGGTGCTTTTAAAACTGAAGCAACTACTTCAATTTGTGTGTGTGTGTGCGTGTGTGTACTCACAAATGAAGTGAAAACAAGAATCAACTGGAGATTACCTTGGTAAAGTGTGGAGCAGAACTCCATAATCAAACACTAAAGTATGTGAATATTCACACTAACAGAGATAAAATCTATAAATAACCTGTCAGGTCAGGTCAGATTTTTCCTTCCAAATGAGTTACTTTTTTTTTTTTTTTTTTGACAGGCAGAGTGGACAGTGAGAGAGAGAGACAGAGAGAAAGGTCTTCCTTTGCCGTTGGTTCACCCTCCAGTGGCCGCCACGGCTGGCGCGCTGCGGCCGGCACACCGCGCTGATCCGATGGCAGGAGCCAGGAGCCAGGTGCTTTTCCTGGTCTCCCATGGGGTGCAGGGCCCAAGCACCTGGGCCATCCTCCACTGCACTCCCTGGCCACAGCAGAGGGCTGGCCTGGAAGAGGGGCAACCGGGACAGAATCCGGCGCCCCGACCGGGACTAGAACCTGGTGTGCCGGCGCCGCTAGGCGGAGGATTAGCCTAGTGAGCCGCGGCGCCGGCTCCTTCCAAATGAGTTACAAAGAGAATCTTAGATTTTCAGAGCTTTGTGGATTACAGAATTGCAGAAAAGACACCTTGTCCTAGCTCTATGCCTCAGCAGGTATTTCAAAATTTGTGACTTTTCTCCACTTGGTTCATTTTTGTCCTGCTTCAGCCTTGCCCATATATTACATTTTGAGTTAACACTGAGGAAATGTTCATACCTTCTACACACATAATCAGTTATACATGTGAAATGTTTACAGTGGTGTTTAGCACATAGTGTCGCTCCCCATCTTCGTGGAGGAATGACACAGGATTCTGCATTGTTCTTTCGTCTGCTCGGCCCTCCCCGGGTTTGCTGCTGGTTCTTCCCGGGTTGGCTGCCGTCCCTTCCACCTCCGTGGAAGGGCGGTTCCCCCTGCCACATTCCCCACTTCCGCGGGGGAGCGGCACACCGCCGGCCGGCTCTCTCGGGGGCTGCACAGGTGTTCCTTCAGATAGATGTTCCCCTTAGATGTTCCTGGTGCATGTTGTCTCTCTCCTCCTTTATAGTCCTCTTCCGCCAATCCCAACTCGGCTGCCCACACGCCGAGTACGCTGCTCTCCTCCAATCAGGAGCAGGATCAGCTCCTGGAGGTCATCACTCAAGTTGGCAAGAGGCAGCTGCGTAGAAGCTGTTTTCTCCTCTCCCAGCGCCATATTGTGGGAGAGCAGATGCATAGAATAAGTCTTAATTCCAGTAACTTAGTCTAGTCCGAGTTGCTCCCCACAGATCCCCCTTTCTTTTTATTTTTTGGCGTTGATACGTGCCTGTCTTCGGTGCCCCGTGGCACACACTCTGCTCTGCTTGCTAGAGTTGCCCACAGGTGCTTAGAAGTCCTATCAATCAGGCAAACCGAATCCAAGCCTTCTCATTGCCGTATTGTGGGGAGACTTATGTTGATAACGTGCCTGTCTTCGGTGACCTGCAGCTGCCCACAGGTGCTTACAAGCCCTACCAATCAGGCAAACCGAATCCAAGCCTTCTCATTGCCGTATTGTGGGAAGACTTATTGATGTTAATTCGTGCCTGTCTTCGGTGACCTGCGGCGCATAAGCTGCTAGCCGCCCGCAGGTGCTCACCACCTCCCTAATCAGGCAGACCGAATCCAAGCTCTCTCATTGCCATGTTGAGGGGAGGCCCCACTTCTCTCTATTTCTCTATCTCCGGGCATTCCTATTTCTCCCATTTCACTTCCATCTTCCAGCATTCCTATTTCTTTCATTTTACTTCTAAACTTGTTTCTCTTATCTCTGCGGCTTCCCGGCGCCCGCCCCGAGGCTGCTTCTCGGCGGCTTCCCGGCTCTGAGCTGCTTCAGCCCGCGCTTCTCTCATCTGCATGGCTTCCCGGCTCTGCGCGGCTCGGCTTCGCGCGCACACTCCGCGGTCTCCACGCCCTTCGCGCCCGCACCATGGCCTCGCGCCAGCCCCGCGTTCCCTATCTATTCACGCCCCGCGCGCTCTCTCTGCACGCAGCGGCTTCCGCGAGTCACACAGCATAGCTTACGTTTCCGCCACCACCGGCATTCAGTCCAAGTTCCCCGGGCTAACCTGGCGAATTCCAACCTGGCGGCCCACGTCTCTGCCTCTGGTTCCAGATTTTCGCCTTTTGCTCCCCGGGCTGACTTGAAGAATTCCAAGATAGCTTACGTCTCCGCTTCAGCCTGCACTCGCGGCTTCATCCTCCCTAACATTTTTCTCTACCCGGTATGTTTCCCTAAGTTTTCTTCCAACAATATTCCTCCCTCATTTCTCCTGGCCTCTCCCCACAGTCCGTATCCAAGTCTAGGTTTCACTTTCACTTTCAACCTGCAGTCCGTATCTGAGTCTAAGTTTCTTCTTGCTTTCACTTTAAATCCTAACTTCTTTCCCACAGTCCATATCCGAGTCTATGCCTAGGCTTTCGATAGCTTCTTCCGGCACCTTTTCTGTCCGGCTTTTCCCTAGGCTCTTTGCTAGTCTCTCTCTCCGGTATTTTCCACTTCTTCCCGTTTCTTCCCTCCTAGGTCTCCTAATCCGAGTCACGGCACCATTATGTCGCTCCCCCTCTTCGTGGAGGAATGACACAGGATTCTGCGTTGTTCTTTCGTCTGCTCGGCCCTCCCCGGGTTTGCTGCTGGTTCTTCCCGGGTTGGCTGCCGTCCCTTCCACCTCCGTGGAAGGGCGGTTCCCCCTGCCACATTCCCCACTTCCACGGGGGAGCGGCACACCGCCAGCCGGCTCTCTCGGGGGCTGCACAGGTGTTCCTTCAGATAGATGTTCCCCTTAGATGTTCCTGGTGCATGTTGTCTCTCTCCTCCTATATAGTCCTCTTCCGCCAATCCCAACTCGGCTGCCCACACGCCGAGTACGCTGCTCTCCTCCAATCAGGAGCAGGATCAGCTCCTGGAGGTCATCACTCAAGTTGGCAAGAGGCAGCTGCGTAGAAGCGTAGAGACCTGGAGGAAGTTCCTGGCTCCTAACTTCAGTCTGGCCCAGCTCTGGCTGTTGCAGCCATTTGGGGAGAGAACCAGTAGATGGAAGGTCTGTTTCTCTCCTCTCTCTTTCTCTCTCTCTCTCTCTCTGCCTTTCAAATAAATAAATAGATTTAAAAAAAAAAAAGGAAATTGAGTTTCTGGGCAAGTGTATGGTACAGCAGTTAATTGCTTGGGTCTTCTTCATTCCATAACACAGTACCTGGTTCCAGTCCTGGCTACTCCACTTCTGATCCAGCTTTCTGCTAAGTGCACCCTGGGAGGCAGCAGATAATGGTTCCATTATGTGGTTTCTGGGCTCTTGGCTTTGGCCTGGCCCAGCTCTTGCTGTTTCAGGCATTTGTGGAATGAGCCAGAAGAGGAAAGAGGAAGATCTCTCTCTCTCTCTAACAAAATGAAACTAAGTAAACAAAACTTTTTAAAAAAGAAATTGTGTTTTAGGGAAAAATAAATGTCTAAATTCTATTAGTAATATAATTTTCACATGATTCAACCTTGTAAATTATCTGAACTGAGAAATTTTAAAAATAAATTAGGAAAGGTTTTAATGATAGTAGCTTGAATAAAAGGGATTATTACAGAATTTAAAAATAACATTCTGGGGTCGGTGCTGTGGCACAGCGGGTTAAAGACCTGGCCTGAAGCACCGGCATCCCATATGGGCGCTGGTTCTTGTCCCTGCTGCGCCTCTTCCCATCCATCTCTCTGCTATGGCCTGGGAAAGCAGTAGAAGATGGCCCAAGTCCTTGGACCCCCGCACCCATGTGGGAGACCTGTGAGAAGCTCCTGTCTCCTGGCTTCGGATCGGCGCAGCTCTGGCCATTGTGGCCATGTGGGGAGTGAACCATTGGATGGAAGACCTCTTCCTCTGTCTCTATATCTCTCTGTAACTCTTTCAAATAAATAAAATAAATCTTAAAAAAAAATTCTACTTTGTCAAAGTCTCCAAATGATACCACAAATAAATGTGTTATAATTGGCCAAGAGCTAATTTTTGTTTCTTCTGCTTATTGCAAATTAGACAAGATAAAGTTACTTGTTTTTTATGGTGTAGAAAAAGTGAATATTTATGCATGAAATAGATCATGAAAGAAATATTAGGAATGTTGGGATGCATCTGAAATCCTTGTGAAGCCACAGCGTTAAGATCTCCATAGTAGCTCCTGCCCCTACAGTTAACCACAGTACCGCTGGGAAGCACTGTTGAGATAGAATTTTGAATACGCCCTATCCTAGCGGCTGCAAACACAGCAGCGGCCACTGGGGGGTGCCAGAGTGAGAGGTTAAAGAACCTCTTTCCATGGAAAAGTTTCTAACTGCTGGAGAATATTTTTACTGTGTAAGAACTTGGACACTGGAGCAAAAGATTCAAAGGCTAAGCAGACAGTCCCCAGAAACATCAGAAAGCAAGAAGCATCTCCGTGTAGCCACACCTCCTTACATGCACAAGGCTGGCATTCCTCATAACAGTGGGAGACCACAGTTGTGATCAAGGAGCAGGGGGACTGGAGCCTGGGACTTTATCTATTTGGAGACAGGGTGCCCTTCTCCACGCCCTCACTTGCAGCTGAGGCTATAAAGAGGAGACACTGGAACTCGATGTGTCTTGGGGGAGAGATTCCCCAACCCTTCCTTTTTTTAAAGATTTATTTAGGTATTTGAAGGAGTTACAGAGAGGAAGAGAGAGAGTCTTCCATTCGCTAGGTTCACTCCCCAAGTGGTGACAGTGGCTGAGACCCATCAGAAGTGGTGCAGCCGGGACTGGAAACA